TCTTCAGAAGAATCGGTGTCGCTGTATGGGACGAGTGCGCCTTTAGTTATGCGCTGCAACAACCAAGTATTTTAGCACCATATAATAATAATATAATAATAATTAATTGGCGCTTACACATACGTTAGTGTTTAGCCGAACTTTTTTTTGCGATGTTGCTTTGACCAGGGCTTGAACCCAGGTGCTGCGGGGTGTAAGCGCGCACTGCTTACCACTACACCACAGCGGCCGACATCATATACATGTATTATATTTTTATACTTTTGGTTAAAAATCTTAATCTACCAGAAATATATGCATTTACTTTTGTTTGTAAATAGTCCATATTTGGATGAAATAAGTTAATAAAATTAATAATTTTTAAAGAAAGCTTTCTAAATATGAACGAAATCGGACAATAACTACTGGTTTAGCAGACTCGTGCGCCACCTACCGGCAAAATTTTTAATGCAGTAATTGCTTTTCATGTAATTAATATACGTTCTAAATATGAACCAAATAGGACTATAGATACGAGATTTTCAAATATTTCGACTCCTGCGCGACTTATCGGATTAACTCATCTTTCGTATTGCATTGTCATCGAGTTCTGAGGCAACTGTGAAGTTTCAAGTCTATAGGCCCGTCCACATACAACTTTGGCGTTGCGTTGGCGCTGGCGTCGCTTTGACAGCAGCGCGAGTAACGCCCGTGCTTGCTACAATGAACGCGTAGCAGAGAATACTTTGGTCACTAAATTAACACACTAGCGGCAGATAGATAAAAAAATTACATCAATAATTGCATTAAAAACTATATTTCTTGCCCGGATTTGATTAAAAATCAAAATTAAATCACATAATTTTGATTATTTAGAACAGCTGACGAACGACGCACGCGAAAAGTTGAGAGTTGGCCATCTTTCTGCGTTGTGTTGGCGTTGGCGTTGCCCAACTTTGGTTATATGGAGACTTTCATATAAATGCATGTATTCATAGTCAGCTGTCGAAGCGACGCCAACGCCAACGCAACGCCAAAGTTGTATGTAAACGGGCCTTAAAGGTCATTGAGAAGTTGATCAAAAATTGATTGCAATATTTGTCCCTAACAAACATATAAACATACATACATACATACAGAGCAAGATAAGGAGTTTTAGTTTGGATTGAAGTTCCACTCTACGGGGTTAGGCTTTCGATACGTTCTCCTTGTATATATAAAAAAACATACAGAGCAAGTGAAATCCAAGCTTGTAATATAGAGGTACTTCAAAACTTTCACACAAAATTGTAACAATTCCTCTCTGCAATGAAAAATTGTCCACGGAGAAAAAGGCTTAACTGACACTGCGGGCACAAAAAAATGTTAACAGAGTACAATTAAGCACTTAAGCCAAAATTGCTTTCGCTATAACTTGGTAACGGAACTTCGTAGGACTTTGAAATTTTGACAGCTGGTGCGTATGGTGGTAGGTAATCGATTTCCGTCAAAACCAGAAAATCGAACAGGTTGTCGCTGACGCCCTTTTGGCGGTTAGGGCTCGACATTCTACACAACGTCCGCAACTTCTGCATTTGATCGAAATTTATTGAGAGAGCAATAATTTAATGTTGATAACTTGCGTATGTTCTTCTCAGTAAATCAACCAGATGGACGACGGACAGCCCATTCAGCTTTAAAGTTGATATCATATGCAGAAATAGGCTACTATTCCACGGAGCTCTTATTTTGTTAGCTGGAGATTTTCGGTAGACCCTTCCGATAATAAATTTGGTGCTACGTCAAAAAGTTTACTCTGGCCACTAATATGTGTAAGCTATCGTGAGAATTCAACATTCGCACAGGTTGCTTGCATCAAAGTAACCAAATATTCCACACGAGCCGCTAAGTCAGCACATTCAACATTCACCGCTAAGTCAGCAAAGCGCAGTGGAAACGTCGGCAGAGGAACAGCAGTGCAGCGCAAAGTGGTGGCTTAGGTTTAAGCTAGGAAATTATTGTAAGTTCAGTTTTTATACTCACTATAAACCGACCTATTTTCAAATTGGGAATTTTTTTTCTCTAATCAATTCAGTACGGACACACAGTCTTTGAAGATAAATTAGAGCGAAACAGATTTAAGTCCCCAAGGAACGAATTATATTTGGGGAGTGTGTGGAAGGAAGCCATCAACGATCAATGAGAATCCTGGGAATTTTTAAACACCACTACCCGATAGAGAGGGAACGAGACCACAAGTGGGAATCCTGAATACTTATAGAAGTACATATGTTAAGGATGAAAAGGTAAGTGAAGTGCTTGTCTCGTAGAAATAAAATTTTTGCGAATAGTAGATGAGTGAATTACTCGCTATAAAATAAAGTGAAACAAGTAAGGAAGTCTAAGTTCGGTCGAAACCGAACTTTATATACCCGGCGCAGGTATCAAATATCGTCGTTTCAACTTGCTCTAAGCTAAACTTTGCATGATAAGCAGGGGGGTTTTCCCCGATTTCAATATTTTTCGATAATATGCTTAACTAGACTTAATGAAATAATTGAACCAAGTTTGGTATAAATCCATAAAGTGGTTACCGAGATACAACTTGTAGTCATAAAGTGGGCGGTGCCACGCCCAATTCCTAAAAGTCTATAGCAGTTTCATTTATTGTTAAGAGATTGTTGTAACTATTAATTTGGAGTAAATTAGCGTCCTCAGTTATGAAATATCGGAGTTTTTGGATGTATGAAATATACCGTTTTACAGGAAGTGGGTGTAATTTTAGTCCGAATTTAATAATTTTCAACGAATTACTTTCTTGTACTAAGGTTATTGAGTGCACCGAGTTTGGTAGAAATTGATGAATCTGTTACCTAGATACACAAAGTGTATCATAATCAAATTTTCTTCTAAGTGGTTATTGTAATTATCGATTTGAAGTCAATTAGCTTCAGTAGTTACTGATTTATTATCGCAGTTTTTAAGTTTCTGTCAATTACCGTTATATGGGGGGTGGGCGTGGTTATTGCCCGATTACAAAGATTTTCAACAGATTTATTAGACAGGCCCTATGCAAGGCTCGTACCGAGTTTGGTAAGGATTGGTGAAGCCGCTACTGAGATACAGCATTTCACCATAAGTGGGCGGGGTCATGCCTATTTTCCAAAAATTTCCTAATAATACTATTTTCTACCAAAATTCTGCTTTATATACTAATTTTCAACAATTTGGATCCAATATTTACTGAAATAGGTTAGTTTTTGCATTCTTCGAAAATACCCTTATATGGAAAGTAGGCGTGGTTACAGTCCGATTTCGCGCATTTTCAATACAAACCTACCTTGGATTAAGAGAAACATAAATACCAAATTACGTTGAGATATCTCAATTTTGACTCGAGTTATCGTGTACACGGACGAACGGACAGACGGACAGACAGACCGCGGCCGCTTCATCAGATATTTTCATTGTCCATGCCACCGCGCCATGCACCAGCACAGGCATGATGCTTCCAAAATTTTGGTCACTCAGGCACCTACGTATCTTGGCATGAGGCTGCTTACGAATTATTTAAAAGATACGATGGCAGCGAATGCCACTATCAAGCGGTTACTATTCTTAGAAACAAAGTGCAAGGTGCTGCCGATCCAGTTCTTATGTTGTTGTTGTTGTAGCGGCTACAACAACCCCGCCCAGATAGGGTAATATCTCAGTCGTTGTCGTCAAGTTCCACTAACGGCAGCCCCAAGAAGCGTGCAGCATCTATGGGGTCGGTCCATAGGGACGACGCCGTTTGGGTTGTAGGGTTTTCCGGGCATGCGAAGAGATGTTTCGAGTAGTGGTAGGAATTTAGCCTGCTGCAGTAGCCAGAGCGAAGTTGAGCTATTGTTGTCCTGGTCTCCCGAGGCAGATGGAGCTCCGACCACCGTTTGAGCCTCTGTGGGAGAGAGGAAGCCTCTATATCTTCTAGTAGCGTGGAATGGCTGACAGTGTCAAAAGCCTTTGACAGGTACAACGCTACTATAATCGTTCTCTCACAGGGACGTTTACGGTTAAGGTCACGAGTTATCTGAGTGTTTCGGGCATTAAGTGCTGTTGTTGTACTGTGCACTTTAAGGAAACCATGCTGATGCTTCTCTGGGGTCAAGTGATTTGTGAAATACGGGGGTAGCAAGGCCTCTAGTGTCTTCGCTACCGGGGAAAGGAGTGTTATCGGACGATAAGAATCTCCTATGTTGGCGGGTTTCCCCGGTTTGAGCACTGGGACCACTCTCCCCACCTTCCAGATGTCTGGGATGATGAGAGTGGCCATGGACAAATTGAGGACCTCCGTTAGGTACTCTACCCCCGCAGGACCCAAATTTTTCAGCATCAGCATGCATATTCCGTCGGGACCCATGGCTTTGGAGGCTTTCGCCTTCCCGATGGCCACCTGAACTTCACCGCAAGTGAAAGCAAGGGGGGCACAAGTTGTTGGCAGTTTGTGCAGCCTTCTGGTCACTCGACGCTTGGCTTTGTCTACCGGAGGATGCAGTATGAACTGCCGGCTAAAATAGCTCGCGCATCGCTCCGGGTCCGACGAAGCATGGTCGCCGAAAGAAATTTCGACTCTGTCGTCGTGCTTCGTCGGATTGGACAGTGACCTCACGGTTGACCAAAGCTTACTCACACCAGAGGTGAAGTTGCAGGTCTTCAGATGCTCTTCCCACTTCTTCCGCTTATGTATGTTTACTATTTGCGGAATCTCCGCGTTGAGATCCCTGATACGGGTATCTCCGGGATCGGCCTGACGAAGGCTGTCACGCTCATCGGCTAGAACAGCCACTTCAGCAGGGAAATTTGGGCGTGGGTCGGTGATGCATCCTGCCGGTACGAAGCGGGCTGCAGCAGCGGTGACAGCCCTGCGGAACTTACGTTCACCAAGGTGGACGTCGGTTGGTGTGGGGAGGGCAGCGAAGGTGTTTTCAGTAAATTCCGCGAAGCCTTTCCAGTCAGCTTTTGAAAAGTTGATATATGTTCGGTGCTCCGCGGAAGCAAAGTCCGTTGGTTTATCGAACGAGATGACTATGGGCAGGTGGTCTGATGCCAAAGTCAGCATAGGTCGCCTTGATATGCTGTTTATCAGACCAGCGCTGACTATTGTTATGTCTGGCGAGCTGCAGCAGCTGCCCATAATCCTGGTGGGTGCGTCGTCGTTCATTGTGCAGAATGTCGAATCGTCTATCTGCTCAGCCAAGTCTGTTCCCCTACGATCGTTTGACAGGCTTGAGTGCCAAAGATCGTGGTGCGCATTAAAGTCACCTACTACCATACGGTTTTCACCTCTGAGGAGCGCACCTATATCAGGGTGATATCCTGCCGGGCAGCAGGTGACAGGGGGTATGTATATATTAAATATTTCGAGCTCGACATCGCCTGACCGGATAGCGATGCCCTGACATTCTAGGGTGGTATCCCTGCGGTCGATGTCTGCTTCGATAAGACGATACTGCACGGTGTGGTGCGTGATGAACGCTAAGCCACCACCATTATCTCGCTCGCGATCTCGACGGTGCACGTTGTACCCGGCGCAATTCAACAAAGTTGAATTGCTGTGCAACTTCGTCTCTTGGACCGCAGCTATCAATATACCATGCCTTCCCATGAAGACGGTTATCTTCTCGATCTTGCTCTGAAGCCCGTTACAGTTAAATTGAAGGAGCTTCATGTGGTTCGGGAGACGTGTCGTGATGTGGGGTGTAAGTGATGTGTGTGTTCTTACCGCCGTTGGCTGTGTGCGCTGCTGTGAAGGTTGCCGCCCTGTGGTGGTGGCGGGAGGCGTCGCAATTGGGGTCTGCGACCGAGCAGCGCAACACGGGCCCTCGAAGTTCCCAGTCCAATCTCGCGTGGTACGCAGACCTGAGCATGCCCTAAAGTGGCACCAGCCAAGGCAGGTGCTGCATTTGACTGATGTCACATTACGGGATATCCTGGTATGAGATACCGTGCAGATTGTAGGAGGAACGAAGAGTTGTTGGCGGCGGCGTGTGGGTGGTGGTGTGTGTTCTGTGGTCTGTAGCCGTTGTGGTGTGGTCTATTGAGTTATGTTGTTGTGCTGTGGGGTCTGTGTGGGACTGCTCAGGTGGACTGGGGTTAGCCGTGGAGGCTGCTCTGTTAGAGCAACAGGGGGCCACAAAAGACGTGGTCCACTGCCGATGTGTCCGTAGTCCTGAGCAGACTCTGAGGTGACTCCACCCCTCGCAAGCATTGCACTTGACATAGGTGGAGTTGTGGTGTAGTCGTCTCTGGCATACACAGCAGGTGTAGGTTTCTGGCCCTGGGTTTGACTCGATGCCAGCCCTGAGTAGGAGAAAACGTAGCGAATGTAGCCCTATGGACGAACAACTTCTGAGATACTTCGCCGACCTAAACGGGGTTAGATCGCCGAAACAACAGCCCTTGGTCGGGTAAAACCCGAGTCATTCCGGTACGTAGAACCGGCTGTCGTGGGAATGCCAGTACTTTTGTCTTTTAACATGGTGGAAGCGCGCACTGCCTACCACTACACCACAGCGGCCGACATCATATACATATATTATATTTTTATACTTTTGGTTAAAAATCTTAATCTAACAGAAATATTTGCATTTACTTTGTTTGTAAATAGTCCATATTTGGAAGAAATAAGTTAATTGTAAAATTAATAATTTTTATAGAAAGCTTTCTAAATATGAACGAAATCGGACAATAACTACTGGTTTAGCAGACTCGTGCGCCACCTACCGGCAAAATTTTTAGTGCAGTAATTGCTTTTCATGTAGTTAATACACGTTCTAAATATGAACCAAATAGGGCTATAAATACGAGATTTTCAAATATCTCGACTCCTGCGCGACTTATCGGATTAACTCATCTTTCGTATTGCATTGTCATCGAGTTCTGAGCCAACTGTGAAGTTTCAAGTCTATAGGTCATTGAGAAGTTGATCAAAAATTGATTGCAATATTTGTCCCTAACAAACATATATACATACAGACCAAGATAAGGAGTTTTAGTTTGGATTGAAGTTCCAGTCCACGGGGTTAGGCTTTCGAAGCATTCTCCTTGTATATACAAAAAACATACAGAGCAAGTGAAATCAAAGCTTGTAAAATAGAGGCACTTCAAAACTTTCACACAAAATTGTAACAATTCCTCTCTGCAATGAAAAATTGTCCACGAAGAAAAAGGCTTAACCGACACTGCGGGCACAAAAAAAATGTTAACAGAGTACAATTAAGCACTTAAGCCAAAATTTCTTTCGCTATAACTTGGTAACGGAACTTCG